CCAGTCTGGTAAGTGCTGCTGGTTTTTTAAAAGGGTATCCAGAGGGTGTTTACAGGATTTTTAGATGGTATTCCCCGCTGTACATGTATACACACGGTACCCAGGAACGTAACCCCCATGTAAGAGGGGAGACGCCTGTATACCAAATAAACAAGTCTTTTCGTGATGGGGTTGCATCCAAACCATAACTCATTGCGTGTTCAGACCCAGAAACCTCCCCCCTAAATAAATTCACACATGACTCAAATTTTTGGTTTTCGTAGAATTTAGGCCACAACTTTATTGATTACAGAAAGTGACTGGTTGCATAGGCGCTGGTTCAACTAGCTTCCCGCCATGCAGGTAGCGCTGACCCAGGGTTCCAGCATAGGCCAGCCAAGGGTGAACACCTGGATAAGTGGAAGGCCGGGAATGGGCTAACTCCGCCACCCAAATGTCAGGCACGGGCACAACCCCCTCTCAGGGGTTGACCAAACCATCGAGTCTCTGGATTCCTTTAACAGAATACCCTTCACATAGGGATGGCGGGAGCATTCTCCCATCCCTATCACCTGAACCAGAGCCTATCCACAACCTTACAAATTGTGATGATTTGCGACGCTGCAGGCGAAACCCAAATGGCAACAGCCAATCAGCCAAGTGGGGGAAATTCCTGCCATGCCCCTGTCCCAACGACAGACACACGACGGCATAGCAAGGTCAAGTGCAAAGCCCTAAAAGTAGGGAGAGGTGGGCAGGTGTTCCGAATACATGCACCGAAAAAGGAAGCTCTGGGTCACGTGCATGGGCATAAATAGGTCCCATTGGCCAGATTGCACTCAGCTTCGAGGGACCTACCAATTGGGTGTTGTGGCTGTGCAAACATACCCACCCACAACACAGGGTGTCGGTTGTCCAGGTTTCACCGCAATACGTGCCCTCTTTAAGGGAGGACCCGATGTAGTAGAGCAAATGCTTTGCAATGCAGAAGATGCCTAGTTTAATTCCTGGCATTCTCAGGTGAAACAAGGGGAAATGTCTTTCTCTGCCCTGTGAGTTCCTGTGAGTAAGAGTAGCTGAGCAGTCAGTAAGAATGCTGGGTTAGATGGAGCAACGAACTTTGTCCTGCTTTAAGGTGGCTTTCTGCGTTTTAGCCTAGCACTGGGGTGAAAGCAGGTACGTGCAACATTTGTCTGCAAGTGAAAGAAGAGGAACTTGCAATACAGTATACAGATTTCATCCCCATTATAAAGTTGGGCACTTTACTAATAAAAACAATTATTATTTTTTAGCCTTGGCAAAAGCAAAATGAAAACAGACTAACTAAACAAAATAAGATTTTAGTGGCAACCTTTGTTTTATGCTGAGACCTTTGCTATGGATAAATAATAAATCATACAAAGCAAGAGCGCATCTCTGGAGGGCTGATCCACATAATATATTGATTCACACAATCCTGAATATACAGGAATATGAGCTGTTTGTCTGCATGAACCGAGTCCAGGGCTTTTTCTTCCGCTAAAGTTCCACTACCACTCATTCAGCATTAATTTCTTTCCCTTGGCTTGGGTTCCAAGGATGGCAGTGAGACATTCTGTTGAAGAGCACTTCAATTAAATATTCCTTTGCATGGATGTTTACTGTAAAAGATTTGTAAGAGAAATCATCTCCTCGACCTGTGAGCTCATCCCATTTAACATTTTGACCAGTTATTATTCTTATATCTCATCCCTTTTCCAAGCAGGGTGACTTAAGACAATTCTGCAAAATCGTAGCTAGTTCCAGGGCAGCAACACACACATTTATAAGCATCATCTTTGCAGGAAGAAATCCTAGGTTTGAAGGCGGCAGGATATGCTTTTGTATAAAATCCATTCTAGGCTTCTTTGTTGCTTCTTTACAGGAATACTAGAGTGAATCCAAAGTCACTTTTTGGTACTGTGTTGTTGATCATAGGATGTAATGGATGTGTTGAGAATATGGGCTCATTTGATCTACTAATGCCATTGTTACATGGCGCCCCAGTCACTGAGTGGTGAAAGATTATTGCTTTACTGGTTTTATGTTGGTTTTTTTTTATTATACTGCTTATTGTTTTTAAGTTTTTCACCATTTTGAGGTTTTTAAATATGAAGCCTTTTATAACTGATTTTCAATAAAATAAATAATATCATATGAAGCAGGGTCTCTGGTGGGAATTGTGGTGAGCAGACTGTCTCAGGCAGTATACTGCTTATAACTTTATGTGTAATAACCAGCATTTCAAATTGTGCCCAAAAATGAACTGGTAAGCAATGTGGGCCGAACAATATCACAGTTATATGCTGCTGACATTTTCTGACACTTCATTATCGCAGAAGCATAAGGGATGGGAATGGAACCTGTAATTGAAGAAAAGAATCAGCGATGTGTGTAATTTCTACATTTCTCTTCCATACATTTTCAATTGCGCAAAGCTTTCAGATGAATACACAGTCGAGTAACAGAACCCCAACATTTTTCATCCATATTTTGTGCCAGCCTTTTTTGTTATAGTTGCTTTGCATAATGTTGAATATCAGGTGTGTTGCTGTAGATAACTTCAGACAACCAGGGCACAATCTGTTTCCAAGCAGGCTTTGTTGTTGTTGTTGTTGTTTAGTCATTTAGTCCTGTCCGACTCTTCGTGACCCCATGGACCAGAGCACGCCAGGCACTTCTGTCTTCCACTGCCTCCCACAGTTTGGTCAAACTCATGCTGGTAGCTTTGAGAACACTATCCAACCATCTCGTCCTCTGTCGTCCCCTTCTCCTTGTGCCCTCCATCTTTCCCAACATTAGGGTCTTTTCCAGGGAGTCTTCTCTTCTCAAGAGGTGGCCAAAGTATTGGAGTCTCAGCTTCAGGATCTGTCCTTCCAGTGAGCACTCAGGGCTGATTTCCTTCAGAATGGATAGGTTTGATCTTCTTGCACTCCATGGGACTCTCAAGAGTCTCCTCCAGCACCATAATTCAAAAGCATCAATTCTTCGGTGATCAGCCTTCTTTATGGTCCAGCTCTCACTTCAATACATCACTACTGGGAAAACCATAGCTTTAACTATACGGACCTTTGTTGGCAAGGTGATGTCTCTGCTTTTTAAGATGCTGTCTAGGTTTGTCATAGCTTTTCTCCCAAGAAGCAGGCGTCTTTTAATTTCATGGCTGCTGTCACCATCTGCAGTGATCATGGAGCCCAAGAAAGTAAAATCTCTCACTGCCTCCATTTCTTCCCCTTCTATTTCCCAGGAGGTGATGGGACCAGTGGCCATGATCTTCGTTTCCAAGCAGGCTTATGCAGCCCAAAACAAAGGTTGCATCCAACTAAGTTATACTCCAAGCAGACCTACTAAAATTACTGAACCTAAGTTAGAAAACAATCCTATGCACAAGAAAGTGGTGTAAAGTTACACCAGATCCAAACTCTGTTCATCTGCCCGAGCCTGGCAGAGGGAAAACAAGTATTTAAAATAGTGTTCTGTGTGAGGTTGCCAGCTCACGTAACCAAGTCCAATGGGTTTAGGATCCAGTCCCTGCTCTGGTTTTGCCCCTGCCACACCCCAGGAGCACTTCTTTTAGGATTTACACTGGCCTCCTCAGCTGAGACAACATATGTTTAGATGTGCCAAAGTTAGGGACTCAGACAAGATGGGGATCAGCCAGCTGAGCCAAAGATCTACTGCATCTTAAGCTGTTCATTCCAGTAGATCTTGCCATAGCATTGCCCGTTTAGTTCTTTCCATTATTTTCAATGAGTCTACTCTGAGTAAGATTAACATTGGATATAGCCCAAAGAGGGGTGTGAGTACAAAATTCTTCATTACAAAAGTAATTATCATACATACAAGCACTCCAATAATAAAACCTTGGTAAGCCAAATTTTATATAGTGCATTTCAACGTAAGCCATTTGAAATAATTTGTTGTTGTACAATATAGCTATCAATAAAAATGTTTCCAGGACAATTAACAAAACTTCCTCCATACACAGTTATTCATTTTCCTCCTCCAGCTTCAAAGCCTCTGGTGCATAGATATTTATGTTTTTGTGTGTGAAAAAGGGCTGTTTACAGTGGAGATTTGAAAAAGGATTGTTTTTCCTTTATAAAGTTTATATGCAAGAGTCAAATCCGATTGATTTTCATGTTGGCTTGTCTGATGTTTTATTAGACCACTGATGTAACTAAAGACATTTGGCTTACTTTCAAATGCTTTGAATAAGGCCCACAAAGGTTTTATTGGATTTTTGTATATATGGTAATTATAATTTTCTCCTTTCACCTGACATTTCTTCTTACGGTTACAGACACCTACTTGATGAAGCCCTTTCTGCTCACTTTGAAAAACTTTATGGGGAGATTATTTATTAAATGGCAGCTGTATTTTTGGCCCTGGTGTGATTTTGCTGTGTATCTGTAAACTCTGAGCTTTCGCGTTCATCACCACAAGACTCGTAGGCTTGCCATATTTTGGAGAGCAAAAAAGAGGACTCATTTGCTGACTTCTACTTTTAACTATGGATCGCTGTGATGACTCTCCTTTTACATGCCCATGAAGAAGAGGACATGTCCTGGAATAAGAAGACATATGGCAACTCTATAAGGAGGTCAGAGTTCGGGAACGGTCGTAACATATGTGTCCAACAAAGGGCAGCCAAACAGAAGTTGCTTTCATGCTGAAGATTACCAATTTACTTAAGTACATTGAAAGTGCAAATCACTTGGGGAATCTTCCATCCCAGCCCAAAATTATCCTGCAAAGATGATCTATTTCTCTATCTTTGCATGTGCATCTCATTCAGATTTTGTTGTTGTTTAGTCGTGTCCGACTCTTCGTGACCCCATGGACCAGAGCACGCCAGGCACTCCTGTCTTCCACTGCCTCCCACAGTTTGGTCAAACTCATGTTTGTAGCTTCAAGAACACTGTCCAACCATCTTGTCCTCTTTCGTCCCCTTCTCCTTGTGCCCTCCATCTTTCCCAGCATTAGGGTCTTTTCCAGGGAGTCTTCTTGAAGGGAAGTTTTCTTTCTGCAGTTCTCTCACTGTGAAGTTCTCTTTCTGCAGTTCTCTTACTGCACATAACTGTTGCATTGTGGGAAGTCTTACTATGAAATCTTTCTATGCTCACTATGAGAACCCTTGCTTCTTTCCTCTTGCATTCTGGGAAGTCTCGCTCATAATCTTTTCTCTGCTTCTGCACAAGAGTCTGAGAATGTTCTGAACAGTTCCCATTGAGTTCATGAAACAGTGTATCCTGACCTGTTCTTAATGCATTGCTGACCACATTTACGGAACGTGATTGTTGTATTCCTTCATGTTATGTTCTCTCAATATCAATCTTTAGTTATAATTTAATTAGGAGGTTTCATGCCTGTCTAGTTCCAGCTCCGTTCCCAGTCTTTTGAACTATCACTGATTAATGTAATATGTAATGCCCGCCTTGTACCTATGTTAACCAATCAGCAACAAGATGCTTTGTGTTTGTATCAGCCAATCAGCCACAAGCACACCTGTGGCAATGTTTGTAATATTCAATAAAAGAGAGTTCCCGGGACTTGCCCGGGGCAGACGTCTCTCCTTTGACACCCACCATTCGTCTGTCGTGATTTCAACCCAACATCTGGTGACCCCGACGTGCCAGATCCCTTACGCAGCCAAACCTCATACTTCACCCGACTGGAAAAGTCTCAGCGCGCTACTTCGTGAGTATGGGAGGGGACTTGACTAAGCTCCAGAAAGAGCATGCTAAAGAGTTGCTTTATTTAGTTAGACAGCGGGAGGTGGGTGTTAATATTTCCTTAAAAGAAATTGAACAATTGCTATGTGAGATAAATTGCCAATGCGTCTTTTATCCAGAGGCTGGATCTTTGGATGTAGAGACTTGGCAAAAGATCGGAAAGACCCTTTTGCAGAACCTAGGGCTCCGATTCATTGTCTGCTCACTTGGCAGAAATGTGCTGATGCCGTTGCTAAATTAGGGCCCCAATTGGGACCCCAGGCGTCTCCTCTTCTGGCCATTGCAGACAATCCCCCACCCTACCCGAAACTTTTACCTCCTTCTCCCAGCCAATCCCTCCCTGCTTCTCACCCTCCTCAGCCTGCATCCTCCCCCCCCATCCCTCCGCCTCAGCCTGATTCCTCCCCCCCCATCCCTCCTCCTCCTGCCACAGCCCCTGTTTGCTCTATAGGAGCTGTGCGTGCTGCGCTCTCTCTGGCAAGGCAAAAAGGGCTCCTGTCCTTAGAGGAGGAGTCTGAGTGGCCAGGTGAAATGCCGTCTGCTTTCCCTATCTCTTATTCAAACCCTGGAACTGCTCAACAGCAGATTTATTATGAATCGCTTCCTTATTCTGTAATGAGGGAATTAAGGAAAGCCATTGCTGATTCTGGTCTGAAATCCTCTTATGTGACAGGGATGCTAGAAGGCATAGCAACTGGTTACATTATGCTACCTCAGGACTGGAAAGACCTTATGCGCATGCTTTTGTCCCCTGCTCAGTATGTGGTGTTTGAGAGTGAATTTAAACATAGCGCTTCAGCCCTGTCTGATCCTCAACATACTGCCAATGAACTTTATGGTGCTGGTCAGTTTGCTGATATAACTGCCCAAGCAACACTGACACCTGTACATTTTGCTCGCACCGCGACCTGTGTTCAACGCGCCTTTCGGAAAGTCCCTGTTTCTGGGCAACCGCTGAGCTCCTTTGTAAATATTAAGCAACAGCATTCGGAGCCATACCATCAGTTTATAGATAGATTGAAAGAATCAGTCACTAGGCAGATTGATAACACCACTGCTCAAAATGAATTGATGAAAAAATTGGCCTTTGAAAACGCAAACACTGATTGCAAGAAAGCTTTGCAGTCAATCATACATCGCCCTAAATATGAACTGGCCGATATGATTCAAGCTTGTGCGGATGTCGGTAGCCAGAGCCATGCGATGTCCTTGCTTGCCGGCGCAATCCAAGCAACCACTAAGCCTACTGGTAACTGCTTTAATTGCAAGCGCCCAGGCCATTTTGCCAAGCAATGCAGAGCCCCAGGCGGGGGGCACACAAGGATGGTTCTGCCTCTAAGGCTAGACCTTCTAAAAATGCCCGAAATGTGGCAAAGGCTATCAGTGGGCTAATCCATGCAGGAGTTCGGGAAACTCCATCCCGGCCTCGCTCTCGGGCCAGGAAAATTAGAGAGCCCAGGAAAATTAGAGAGCTTTCCGCCTTTACTTTCTGCTGCTGCAAACTTTTCAAAGAGCACACCCTCTGAATTTGCAATTGATTTGATCAATCAAGAGACCAAAGATTCTGTTCTACCTGGTGAAATTGTGCTTATGCCCACTCAATTGGCAGGTCCCCTGCCTCCTAAAGTCGCAGGTTTAATTTTACCCAAATTTTCTGCGGCAAAGGAAGGAATCCAGGTTATTCCTGGAGTTCTGGATCCTGACTATGTAGGCACAATAATGGTTCAACTCTGGAGCCATATGCCCATGCAATTAAAAAAGGGTGAGTCTTGGGCGCATTTGGTGGTGCTCCCTTCTCATCCTGCTGCTTCTATTATGGATACTAATTTGCACGAGCTCTCTTCTTTCCCTCCACAGCTGTTAGCTCTAGTCCAGAGGATTGGTGAGAAGAAGCTTCTTCGTAAGTATAAAATCAATGGTATTGTGCTGGAAGGCTTGATTGACACAGGCGCAGACGTTTCTGTAATTTCTAGTAGTTGCTGGGACCCCACGTGGCCCCTTGAGTCTGCCTCTGCTGTCTGGGGTGTGGGTGGCCCCAAACCTCTTCCAAAAGCGTACAGTGGCTGCCTGTTTCTCTGCCTGACAGCTCTGAAACCATTGCTTACATCCAGCCCTGTGTGCTGAAAATCCACCTCAATCTGTGGGGAAGAGATTTGCTACAACAATTACAAGCTACCATTCAATTTAATGAGTAAGCTTGCACTTCCCCTCAACTGGAAATCTTCTGGTCGTGTCCTGGCTATACGTTTAATTACATTCCAGCAATACATCAGCCATGGCACACCTTGCTGTTTAAGCCGTTTGTACATCATTTTACCCAAGAAGCATCATTTATCCCGCTCTCGATATCACTACAATATTGAATTGACTAATGATTGTGATGCTTTTGTCTCTCTTCTCAGTAGGTCTGAATATATCTCTTTAGTTGCTTCTCTCTTAGGAATCCCTGGATTGGCTGTACGGAATCGTGTGAACATTACTTCTTTAGCTTGTTATGCAGCAAAAACTCTGAATTATATTTCACAAGCCCTTCACCTTTTGAATAAAGAACAGTGCACTCCACAATGGACTTTTACAAAATCCTTTTACAAAATGGACTTTTTACATTATATAACCCCCTTTTGAATAAAGAACAGTGAACTATATAATGGACTTTTACGAAATCGTGCTATAGATTATTTGCTGATGCTTCATCATTATGGCTGTGAACAAGTGAATGACATGTGTTGCTTCAATATTACTGACAATTCAAGAGCCATTCAAAGCCAAATCTCTCATTTGCAAAATCTTACACATCACATTAAACAGGACATTGGTTTTCCTGGCCTCTGGGATTCTTTCACCCAGTGGCTTACCGCTTGGTTGCCAAACCTTACTTGGCTTCGTAATCTTTTTCAATATGCTATTGTTATAATATGTTTATTAACTTTACTGTGCTGTTTTCTTCAATGCGTTCCTAGCCTCATGACTCTTTTCTCTCGGCTTCTCTCTCCCCCTCAACCACCAGTAAACTCCTTGCTGCCTACATTGCGAAATGGCAACACCAACAGTAAACCTTAGGGGAGATGTGGGCGGATTTATTTTGGGCATACGCTGGCAAACCACGTATCCTGAAGTACTTTTGTCCCATCGACCCTGGCAGGCTTATTTCGGGCATTCGCTGGCACACCACTAATCCCGAAGTATTTTTGCCTTATCCACCTGGAATGCCTCGCAAACAAGAAAAGAAAGGGGGAGATGAAGGGAAGTTTTCTTTCTGCAGTTCTCTCACTGTGAAGTTCTCTTTCTGCAGTTCTCTTACTGCACATAACTGTTGCATGGTGGGAAGTCTTACTATGAAATCTTTCTATGCTCACTATGAGAACCCTTGCTTCTTTCCTCTTGGATTCTGGGAAGTCTCGCTCATAATCTTTTCTCTGCTTCTGCACAAGAGTCTGAGAATGTTCTGAACAGTTCCCATTGAGTTCATGAAACAGTGTATCCTGACCTGTTCTTAATGCATTGCTGACCACATTTACGGAACGTGATTGTTGTATTCCTTCATGTTATGTTCTCTCAATATCAATCTTTAGTTATAATTTAATTAGGAGGTTTCATGCCTGTCTAGTTCCAGCTCCGTTCCCAGTCTTTTGAACTATCACTGATTAATGTAAAATGTAATGCCCGCCTTGTACCTATGTTAACCAATCAGCAACAAGATGCTTTGTGTTTGTATCAGCCAATCAGCCACAAGCACACCTGTGGCAATGTTTGTAATATTCAATAAAGAGAGTTCCCGGGACTTGCCCCGGGCAGACGTCTCTCCTTTGACACCCACCATTCGTCTGTCGTGATTTCAACCCAACA